TGATAAACTTGTCGTCTGCTGATTGTCGCAGATGTTGAATTCCTCACCCCTGCAACAAGAATACACGCGTTCATCACACACAAACTTCAATCAGTCACATACTTTAGGAATCTCCGCGACTTCTGCCTCGTACTGCTGGACCGAGAAAAGAGAATTACGGATCTGCCACTGGACAACGGGGTCTGAGCCCTCTTGAGGGGATGCGAGAAGCTCAGAAGGTTCGCCCTCTATCTCAGACCTGGAGGTCTAACCAACACGGGCCTGAGTTACATTGGGCAGTACAGCCCGAACGTGAGATGGATGCTACTGGGGTACCTGGCTAAGACAGATGAGGGTCTGTTGAAGAAAAAAGAAATATAAACAATGTAGGATTTGAAATATTAAGGAAAAAAAGCTTGATTAGACTTTGTCAATGGAGGTTTTATTTTTTTTTTTTAAAAATAAAGAGAATAAAAACAGAATATGAAACCTTACCGTACTCTGGAGTCGTCTTCTCTCAGGGAGGAAGAAGAACTTGGTAGAAAAGGAATGGTGAAATGCCGTTCGGGGTTTTACTTTTTGCAGTACCATCGTTTTTTTATTTTTTTATTTATTTTTTGTTTAATGTGTGGCTAATAATAAAATGAAACATGAAAAATATTTTTTTAAATGATTATGAAAAAATATTGTGATCTTAAAAGCTCAAATATAGAAAATTAGGAAGAAATAAACGAGGATAAAAACATGAATTCCACCCAAATCCCACTAATTTGTCAGTGGACTCTCAATCTGCAACACAGAAGGAATACCATTTCTGTCAACTAAACTCAACAATACTTTTAGAACTTTGAGATAACCTTATTCCTTGATGGGTTTTGGCCTGCAGAAGATGGGGCGATGCTCATGATTAAGATGAAAAAAGTCGAATTCTTTCACACGTTCTGTCTTAGCTTGGTACTCGACAAGAGCTCCATTGGCAGGATCCTTAGCCATGAATGTGATGTAGAATTTCACATCAAGGTTTGCAGCGCGTACATTCAGACTCTAGAGACATTCTCCGAGCTTGTATTATGGAGTGGGGAGCTCCGTGGGACCAGTATATGACATTGTGCGAGTTTGCGTATAACAACAGCCATCACATGAGCATCGGAGTGTATCCATATGAGGCCTTATACGGGAGACCGTGCAAGACACCGTTGTGCTGGACAGAGATCGGAGAACGTCGCGAATTTGGGCCGGAGATCGTGGAGGAGACCACGGAGGCGATAGGAGGATTCGCGCCCATCTGAAGACGGCGCAGGACCGACAGAAGTCATACACCGATCAGCGACGTCGAGACTTTGTGCTTGAAGTCGGGGATTTCGCCTTTCTTCGAGTACAGGCGATGCGAGGTCATGCGAGGTTCAGACAGGGCGGGAAGCTGACGTGTCAATGCTGCGGAGGTACGTAGAGGATCCTTCTCACGTGCTACAACCCCAGGAGTTGGAATTTACGAAGGCTACACGTTTCCGCGACGAGCCGCTGCAGATTGTGGACTGGAAGATCAAGAAGCTGCGTACGAAGGAGGTGCCACTCGTGAAGGTCTTGTGGCGAAGCCAAGGGGTCTCTGACATGACTTGGGAACCCGAGGCAGAGATGCGTTGTAGTTATCCGCATCTATTCACTTGAGCGTTGTACGAACTCTTTATGTATGACGTTCGGGTTGTATCAGACTTAAGTTTCAGATGATGTGACGTTATGGAATGTGTTTTTGGTGATGATATTCCGCGATTCTGAATTCGAGGATGAATTCATTTTAAGGGAGGAGGATTTGTAATACCCCAAAACCCGAATGGAATATTTAATTATTTAAATATAAATAATTAAATAGGAATGTCACGAAATCACCAAAAATAAATAGTATAATGCCGAAGAGAGGCACGAGGATCGTCACGCGTGGAAAGGATCGAGAAAGAATGAAGAAAAAAAAAAGGGGTTGGTCCGTCGGACCAGGGTTGGTCAGCGGCGGACCAACCACAGTCGGACTGAGCTGGACAGCGCGGACTGGAAGAAAAATTTGAAAAAAAATAAGATTCTGGTCTGGCGGACCAGGAGTTGGTCCGGCGGACCGGAACCCGACAGATTCCAGCTCGCTCTGTTGCAAGTTTCGGGACGCGAGAACTCGTCGAAAATTGAAGCCACACGCTTCCAACCATCGCCCGACGCCTGGAGGACGTTGCAGGCTCGCCTCTGGACCTGGATGTCGGCCCCTGCGACCTCTCTCCCGCGACATAAACCCCTCCCAAGTTCCAGACAGAGCCATGGCGAGCTGAAAGAGGGGAGAAGAAAAAGAGAGAGAAAGGGAGAGAGTGGAAGCGAACCAGAGAGAAAGGAGCTCGGAGGAACCAAGAGGGACGTGCCCATACGTGTCCCGGAGCTTCTCGCATCGTGTGGAGCCACGAGGAACCCACATGAGCTCGGATAAGCTCAAGAACAATGTGAGTGGCTTGAGTTGAATTTGTGGGATCTCGTTTTCAATGTTTGATGGTCCAATTCGAGATTTTCTTGCGTGTTTGAGGCTTAGAACATGTCTAGAGATGTAAATCTATGTTTAATTGGTATTTAGAAGCAACCCCGGATCGATTAGGGTGAGAAAAAGCGAAACAAAATCGGAGAAAATCGCGAGAGAGAAGAAGATCCCAGTCCCGGTCCGGCGGACCACGAGTGGTCAGCTCCGGATCGAGACTGGGATAACACGTGAGCTCAGACAGACCAAGGAACGGACCAGACCAGAGAAAAACACGTCCTGGTCCGCCGGACCAGACGTGTTCCGAGGCTACGCGTACCGCCGGACCTGAAGAAAGGAACAGACCAAGAGAAAGACACGCCTGGTCCGGGGCTGACCAGTCCTGGTCCGCCGGACCAGACGTGTCGGAGTGAGGTCACTCGGTCTGACCAAAAGGAACGGATCGGGAGAGGAGAAGCAGGCTGGTCCGGGGCTGACCAATTCCGGTTCGCCGGACCAGACTTGCTTTCTCTCTCGGATCGATGGACCAAGAGGCGAGGCAGACAAGGGGGAGAAGGAGAACTGGTCCGGCTGACCAGAATCTGGTCCGCCGGACCAGGCTCAGAAGACTTGGAGAAAAATTTAATTTTCAACCGGGAAAGAGAAAACGGCCAACGGGGTTGGCACGAGCCGGTCAGACTTGGCGACGGATGAATCAACCCCCACCAGAGGACAAAGCATCGCGATTGGGATCAATCGAACCGAGTTTTTTCGCCAGGACGTTGCGTGGCGTAGTGAGATGTACGACATCAAAATACGAGTGATCGTTGCGTGAATATTTATGGGTAGAATTGCATGGCGTAAAACGGTAACCCGATAGGGACCGGATACCGTGGTACGTATGATTGTACTATGAGAATATTGCACGTTGTATGCCATGTGTGTAGCTTGTCGTGCATACGAGTTAAGCGTGATTGTGTTTATGGATGGTTGTGGACTCAACCATCAACGTCATGGACTTGACGGGCGTTTGAGACGCATTTTAGTCGTGTGCGACACGACGGTCAACGTCATGGACTTGACGGGTGCGGACTCGCCACTAGTCATGGATTTGACTAGGGTATATGGCTGGACCCTATGGTGGACTCCATACGGGTATGTTTATATTCCGTTGTGTCATAGATTTGACATCGGTAGTCTCGAGAGTGACATGCATAGGAGACGCGCAAGATCGCATGTGATGCGATGGCCAACGTCACGCGAGTGACGGGCGTGGAGGCAGCCCTAGTCATGGACTTGACTAGGGTATACAGCTAAGCCCTATGGTGAACTCCATACGGGCGTGATTATGCTTGTCTTATATGTGTTTACTGCGTTTTCATTTATTGCATGTGTTATGTGGAAATGTCGACTGTACCGTTCTCATTGAGAACGGGATTCCCGGGTTCAACCCGGGTTACTCACTAAGCAGTTGTGCTTAGCCCTCATGGTTTACATTTTTCAGATCACGAGGATTACACCTAACGCCTCAGCAGACGACGACCCGAGAGAAGCAGCATCATGTACGAGATTTGTATTCTGAATCAAAAGACTTGTTGTTTCAACTTTTATACGGTTGTATTTGCGATACTAATCGCTTTGTATTTCCGTTGCTACTCTGATTTGATCTAAAAATGTTTTTTTTGAATTAGTAAATTTTGCTTCCGCATTTTATTACTTTATTATTTTATTATTTTATTTTATATCGTCCATGTGGCATAGCCCATATACTGTACACGGGTTACGGGTGTCACAACTTTTGGTATCAGAACCACGCTCTTTCCTTGGGAAGGAATCGTGCTCATTACCCAACGGGTTTTCTACGAAAAATGTTTTCAAACCACGTCCGAAGGAAATCCTCATCTATCGGGGTCCGTACATCGATGATGCAGAATCGGTCGTCAGTTGCTAAACTGTATTAAATGTGGTGCAGTGAAATGGCGCCACGACGTGCTAGGCTTGCAGCGAGGGCTGACGACGTCCCCGAACAGGCTCCTCTGCCTAACCCAGGAGACGAAGGGTGGAGGGCTGAGTTTCGTCAATTCCAGGAGACCGTGTGGCAGCACCTGGCCGCGCACGCCCCCCCACACGCCCCACCACCACCCCCGGCGAGAGACCCGGAGCCGAGGGAGGAGGAACCACACCCGCCGCCGATGCCTGCTGCGATGGCGGGATACCTCCCTATCATGAAGGAGATGTGGACAATGCACACCCCGCGATTCAAGGGGTCGGTGAGACCGGAAGCTGCGGAGGAGTGGCTCACCCAGATCTCTCAGGACTTGGAGTATCTGAAGTGCCCGTACCAGTATCGGGCTATGATTGCAAGCCATCATCTGTCGGGTCAGGCCCGACATTGGTGGGCGAAGGTGGTGTAGAGGCACCAGCGAGACATCGCTTTACCTGGAAGGAGTTCCTACATGAATTCGAGGCGAAGTACTTCCGGCAACAGGACCTTGAGTACCGGGTGGCAGAGTTCCTCATGTTGCAGTAAGGAGACATGACTGCCAGTGAGTACGAGACGGAGTTCACCCGCCTACTGAGGTATGGAGGGCACCTGGTGCCCACCGAGGCGTCGAAGATCCAGAAGTTCATTGCTGGACTTCGACCCTACCTGCGGAGGAAGATCGAGATCCAGGAATACCCGACGTTGAGTCGATATATTTCCCAGCTGGAGAAGGTGGAACGTGGAGAGCGGGAAAAGAAGGAGGGGAAGATCCGTGAGCGGAGCCCCGCTGGGAGATACTTCGGTACGGATTCATCTGGAAAGAACGCCCAGAGCAACGACCCGCGCAACAAGGGCAAGGCGCCCGCTGTTCGTGCGCCACCACCACTGGCGGCAAGGGGACCAGTGGTCTGTTTTCGTTGCGACCAGCCTGGACACATTGCCTCACGTTGCCCGACGAGGACTACTGGACCACCAGCTTCGGCGCCGAGATCCCCATGACCACCAGGCCAGGCGAGCAGATGACCCCGTCCACCAGTGAGGACTGGAGCAGCACCGAGAGTGTATACTCTTGGTGCCGAGCAGGAGATCCAGGAGGAAGAGGAGGAGGAATGTGCCCCTGATGGAGCCGAGGCTGCCGCGATCTCAGGTACCTTATATCTCTGTGGAGTTGCCTGTTATACGTTGTTTGATAACGGGGCGACCCATAGTTTCCTGAGTGTGGGAGTGGCAGAGAGACTTGAGACTGGAGAGATTGAGCCGAGGAGCGATTTCACTGTGCGCATACCAACCGGAGAGACATTAGCAGTGCACGGGATCCTGAGAGGCATACCCCTTGAGATTTGCGGTCGCATTTTAGCCACAGATCTCATTGTGGTACCCATCGGAGGTTTCGACATCATTCTGGGCATGGATTGGTTGATGGAGTACCAAGCCTACATTGATTGTCCTCAAAGGACAATCTGGTTTACGGATGGATTTGGAGGGTTCGAGTTCCGAGGCAGAGGAGCGCCGGCAGCGGACCCGATCATCTCGTCACTGAAAGCCGAGAAGATGATCAGGAAGGGCAACGAAGCATTCCTGGTAGTTATTACAACTACTCAGGAATCGGAGATGAGACTGGAGGATACACCCGTTGCCCGGGAGTTTCCGGATGTGTTCCCTGAGGATCTGCCGGGACTACCACCCAGTTGGGAAGTTGACTTCAACATAGATGTGCTACCGGGTACTGAGCCAATTTCCAAGGCTCCATATCGGATGGCGCCTACGGAGATGGCCGGGCTGAAGAAACAGCTGAACGAGTTGGTGGAGCAGGGTCTCATTCGCCCTAGCGTATCACCGTGGGGAGCACCGGTACTCTTCGTGAAGAAGAAGGACGGGAGTATGCGATTGTGCATCGATTACCGATGGCTCAACCAAGTGACTATCAAGAATCGGTACCCGCTACCGAGGATTGATAAGTTGCTTGACCAGCTAAAGGGAGCCCAATGGTTTTCGAAGGTCGATCTACGATCCGAATATCATCAGATTCGGGTCAAGGAGGAGGACATACAGAAGACGGCGTTTCTGACGAGATATGGACACTTCAAGTTCATGATCATGCCTTTCAGACTCACGAACGCACCTGCGGTGTTCATGCAACTGATGAACCGCGTGTTCATGGACTATTTGGATGAGTTTGTCATCATTTTCATCGATGACCTCCTTATCTATTCTCCGGATCCGCAGACACATGAGGAACACATGCGGAAGATACTGTGGAGGCTGAGAGAGAACCGGTTGTATGCGAAGTTCAGTAAGTGCAGCTTCTGGACATGTGGTATTGGCCCATGGCATCCAGGTCGATCCTGCTAAGATCGAGTCATGGAGTGGCAGTCCCCGACGTCTGCGACAGAAGTCAAGAGCTTCTTGGGACTAGCCGGTTATTACCGACGATTTGCCGAGGGATTCGCCAAGATCGCTCAACCCTTGACGAAGCTGACGGGGAAAAACGTCAGGTTCGAGTGGACGGCAGAATGCGAGGAAAGTTTCGGAGAATTGAAACGGAGATTGACATTAGCGCCGATCTTGGCATTACCACGGCCGGGAATGCTATACGAGGTATACACTGACGCGTCCAAGCATGGGCTCGGTTGCGTGTTGATGCAAGAGGGACATGTGATCGCTTACGCGTCGAGACAACTGAAGAAACACGAGGAGAACTACCCGATGCATGATATGGAGTTAGCGACGGTAGTTTACGCACTGAAGATCTGGAGATCGTATCTGTACGGGGAGAAAGTTAAGCTCAACATGGACCACAAGAGCTTGACTTATGTGATATCGCAGAAAGACCTGAATCTGAGACAGCGGAGATGGTTGGAGCTGATTGCAGATTATGATCTGGAGATAGCCTACCATCCGGGGAAGGCTAACGTAGTGGCCGACGCACTTAGCAGAAAGAAGATCTTAGCGGCCATACGTGTGGTCACCTCATCTCGCAGCAACGCCGCTGAGTTGACTGCGATATTGGGACATCTCTCATTGACGGCCGAGGAGTCGACGCCGACCTTGATAGAGCGCGTGACCAGGGGACAGCGTGGCGATCCTCTGCTCGCTCGATACATGGATCACATTGAGGAATATAGCCTTAAGGGCTACCGCATCGACGAGCAGGGAGCGTTGAGACTGGAGAACCGACTTTGTGTGCCCGACGACCCAGAGCTGAGGCAGGAGATTTTGTCGGAGGCACATCAGTCGAGGTTAGCGATACATCCGGGAGCGAGCAAGATGTACCAAGGACTGCGACAGTGGTATACTTGGCCGAGAGTCAATAGGGATGTGGCGGACTATGTAGCGACATGCCTCACTTGCAAGTAAGTGAAGGCAGAGCGACAAATGCTGGGAGGGAAGCTACAACCGCTGGAGATACCCGAGTGGAAGTGGGATTCGATCGCCATGGACTTTATGGTCGGATTACCGCTCACGCCCAGCAAGAAGAACGCCATCTGGGTAGTCGTGGACCGGCTAACCAAATATGCTCATTTCATCCCCATCCGCCAGGAATATTCGATCGAGCGACTGGCGCAGATTTACGTCGATGAAATCGTGTGGCTGCATGGGGTTCCGAACGAGATCATCTCGGACAGGGACGCCCGATTTACATCACGCCTATGGAAGACGATACAAGAGGCACTGGGGACAAAGCTCAAGATGAGCACTGCATACCACCCTCAGACCGATGGTCAATCGGAGCGGACGATACAGAATCTGGAGGACATGCTCCGAGCTTGTATTATGGAGTGGGGAGCTCTGTGGGACCAGTATCTGACATTGTGCGAGTTTGCGTACAACAACAGCCATCACACGAGCACCGGAGTGTCTCCATATGAGGCCTTATACGAGAGACCGTGCAAGACACCTATGTGCTGGACAGAGATCAGAGAACGTCGCGAATTTGGGCCGGAGATCGTGGAGGAGACCATGGAGGCGATACGGAGGATTCGCGCCCATCTGAAGACGGCGCAGGACCGACAGAGGTCATACGCCGATCAGCGACGTCGAGACTTCGAGCTTGAAGTCGGGGATTTCGCCTTTCTTCGAGTATATGCGATGCGAGGTCATGTGAAGTTCAGACAGGGCGGGAAGCTGAAGCCGCACTACATCAAACCTTATCCCGTGATCGCGAGAGTGGGAGCTATTGCCTACCGTCTTGGATTGCCCGGAGCTGGGCAACATCCATGACATGTTCCACGTGTCAATGCTGCGGAGGTACGTAGCGGATCCTTCTCATGTGCTACAGCCCCAGGAGTTAGAATTTACGGAGGCTACACGTTTCCGCGACGAGCCACTGCAGATTGTGGACTGGAAGATCAAGAAGCTGCGTACGAAGGAGGTGCCACTCGTGAAGGTCTTCTGGCGAAGCCAAGGGGTCTCTGACATGACTTGGGAACCCGATGCAGGGATACGTTGTAGTTATCCGCATCTATTCACTTGAGTGTTGTACGAACTCTTTATGTATGATGTTCGGGTTGTATCAGACTTAAGTTTCAGATGATGTGACGTTATGGAATGTGTTTTTGGTGATGATATTCCGCGATTCTGAATTCGAGGACGAATTCATTTTAAGGGGGAGGATTTGTAATACCCCAAAACCCGAATGAAATATTTAATTATTTAAATATAAATAATTAAATAGGAATGTCACGAAATCACCAAAAATAAATAGTACAATACCGAGGAGAGGCACGAGGATCGTCACGCGTGGAAAGGATCGAGAAGGAATGAAGAAAAAAAAAGGGGTTGGTCCGCCGGACCAGGAGTGGTCAGCGGCGGACCAACCACAGCCGGACTGAGCTGGACAGCGCGGACTGGAAGAAAAATTTGAAAAAAAATAAGATTCTGGTCTGGCGGACCAGGAGTTGGTCCGGCGGACCAGAACCCGACAGATTACAGCTCGCTCCACACACTTCCAACCACTGCCCGATGCCTGGAGGACATTGCAGGCTCGCCTCTGGACCTGGATGTCGGCCCCTGCGACCTCTCTCCCGCGACATAAACCCCTCCCAAGTTCCAGACAGAGCCATGGCGAGCTGAAAGAGGGGAGAAGAAAAAGAGAGAGAAAGGGAGAGAGTGGAAGCGAACCAGAGAGAAAGGAGCTCGGAGGAACCAAGTGGGACGTGCCCAGACGTGTCCCGGAGCTTCTCGCATCGTGTGGAGCCACGAGGAACCCACACGAGCTCGGATAAGCTCAAGAACAATGTGAGTGGCTTGAGTTGAATTTGTGGGATCTCGTTTTCAATGTTTGATGGTCCAATTCGAAATTTCCTTGCGTGTTTGAGGCTTAGAACATGTCTAGGGATGTAAATCTATGTTTAATTGACATTTAGAAGCAATCCTGAATCGATTAGGGTGAGAAAAAGCGAAACAAAATCGGAGAAAATCGCGAGAGAGAAGAAGATCCCAGTCCCGGTCCGGCGGACCATGAGTGTTCAGCTCCGGACCGAGACTGGGACAACACGTGAGCTCAGACGGACCAAGGAATGGACCAGACCAGAGAAAAATACGTCCTGGTCCGCCGGACCAGACATGTTCCGAGGCTACGCATACCGCCGGACCAGAAGAAAGGAACGGACCAAGAGAAAGACACGCCTGGTCCGGGACTGATCAGTCCTGGTCCGCCGGACCAGACGTGTCGGAGTGAGGTCACTCCGTCTAACCAAAAGGAACGGACCGGGAGAGGAGAAGCAGGCTGGTCCAGGGCTGACCAATTCCGGTTCGCCGGACCATACTTGCTTTCTCTCTCGGATCGACGGACCAAGAGGCGAGGCGGACCAGGGGGAGAAGGAGAACTGGTCCGGCTGACCAGAATCTGGTCCGCCGGACCAGGCTCAGAAAACTTGGAGAAAAATTTAATTTTCAACTGGGAAAGAGAAGATGGCCAACAGGGTTGGCACGGGCCGGTCAGACTTGGCGACATATGAACCAACCCCCATCAGAGGACAAAGCATCGCGATTGGGATCAATCGAACCGAGTTTTTCCGCCAGGACGTTGCGTGGCGTAGTGAGATGTGCGACATCAAAATACGAGTGATCGTTGCGTGACTATTTGTGGGTAGAATTGCATGGCGTAAAACGGTAACCCGGTAGGGATCGGATACCGTGGTACGTATGATTGTACTATGTGAATATTGCACGTTGTGTGCCATGTGTGTAGCTTGCTCGTGCGTACGAGCATGATTGTGTTTGTAGATGGTTGTGGACTCAACCATCAATGTCATGGACTTGACGGGCGTTTGAGACGCATTTTAGTCGTGTGCGACACGACGACCAACGTCATGGACTTGAGGGTGTTGACTCGCCCCTAGTCATGGATTTGACTAGGGTATATGGCTGGACCCTATGGTGGACTCCATACGGGTATGTTTACATTCCGTTGTGTCATGGATTTGACATCGGTAGTCACGAGAGTGACATGCGTAGGAGACACGCAAGATCGCATGTGATGCGATGGCCAATGCCATGCGAGTGACGGGCGTGGAGGTGGCCCTAGTTATGGACTTGACTAGGGTATACGGCTAATCCCTATGGTGAACTCCATACAGGGCGTGATTGTGCTTGTCTTATATGTGTTTACTGCGTTTTCATTTATTGCATGTGTTCTGTGGAAATGTCGACTGTACCGTTC